CTTCAGTGGTGTGGAAACATTATGGGTTCAGTCAGACGTGGATCAAGTAGACACAGTGTGTAAACTTTGCTCGGTGTCGTAGCTGCACCACAGAGCAACACTGCAAAGCTCACTAAACACAGATGTTTATATTTTTCATTTATTTCTTATATTGCAAACATTTGCACTGTTATCAGTATTTGCACACTATTTTATATTATTTTTTGACAATCTTTAAAGTCATTATTCAACACATTGTTATTGTTAAATAAATATCGTCAAATAATCGAGATCTCAATGTCAGTCAAAATAATCGTGATTATCATTTTTGCCATAATCGAGCAGCCCTAACCCCAAATATAAAATTTAACACGCATATTATATAGAAAGTGTGCACCATTAATTCAATTCATTTATTCAAACCACACTCCGTATGTATGTGTGCGTGAGCTGTAGCACAGTCAATCACATTAACCAGATTTAAAAAAAAAAAACAACAACAAAAAAACACTCAAAAATGCTGCAAGGAGTTATTTTTTGACTACTATGAAGTAGTCAACAAAAAAACGAAATGCAATATGCAAAACATGCAAGAAGAGAATCACAGACAGAGATGGAACAACTTCCAACTTTGTCCGACAGTTGAAGACTGTCTTTATGCACCTACCGTTGCATAAAGAACGGTAGGTGGTGCTTCTCTTTTGCTACGATGAGATCATGACTTCATCTTACTAGCAAATGTTGTCCAGGCTACGTTGGTGATGCAGTTTTTTTTAATGTGTATGATATTTTTGTCATGCGATTTTAAAGCCGGTCCTACAAGTGCATCCAAGAATAACATGCAGCTTATCTCAGAACTGTCGTGAAAATTATTCTTGGAGCTAGGTTTAATTGAGGTGCAATTTCACAATTTGTGTATATTTTCTAAGTTCACTATTTTGTCATGTGTTGAGAAAAACACAGATTTAAAAATCGTCTAATATTTACATTTAGCATAACTGGAACATGCTTTTTTCTTTTTCTTTTTTTTAAGACTCGAAAGGACTTGAAATTCAAAGTTTCAGACTTCTGACTTTACTCGGACTTTTACACCAGTGACTTGAGACTCGACTCTGACTTGAGGATAAAGACTTGAGACTTACTTGAGACTTGCAAAACAATGACTTGGTCCCACCTCTGGTAAATGACCTGCTCTACTTCCTGTGATGCAGTCCCCCTAATAGATAGCTGCCCCTCCTTGAGCCTGGTTCTGCTGGAGGGTTCTCCATGTTAAAAGGGATTTTTTTGCTTGCTTGCTCATAGTGGATCTTCTGATTGTTGGGGTTTTCTGTTTTTTCTGTATTATTGCAGGGTCCTACAATATAAAGCGCCTTGAAGTGACCGCTGCTGTGATTTGGTGTTGTTTGAAGTTTACTGAGGAGAATCTTTGTATAATAAAATTGTGGGTGTTTTTTTTTGTCTGCTACAGGTATGTGATTGCACATATAAACACAGAGGAGCCCAGTCGACACGTGACTTCTGAGGATTTGGGAGGAAGGCCAGATGAACAACAGGATCCACAAGTCAAAGAAGTGGTAGAACAGCTGCGCAAGATAGCCGACAGTTTAAACCGCAATGCTGAGCTTCAGAGGTGACTGCATCAGCTGTTTCAGCAGATTCTTTGAATACCAATTAATTGATATGCTCTTTCCACATCATGCTGACACTACTATTGGCAGATTTACAATGCAAAACCTCACTTTCTTTTCATCTTTTCAAAGTTCAATGTGTTTAAAGCAATTTTTTACATATTATGTAAATATAAGGCAAACTTTTGAATGTGACTGGTGACACTAAAATGCAGGATTTCATCACCCATCTCTCCTAATATCCCGGTGCGATGTCCTAACTCATGTCAGTTAAAGTTCACTCTATACTTCCAGTGTAACGATGAAAATCTGGGAAAAACACAAACTGGAACGTGTCATTTCTTGAGCTTGACCATGGCTCTTTCCATGATGCTATCTCGTAGCACAGTGGTACTGACTGGAGAATTGGCTCCACCTACTGCTGCTCTCTAGCAGTGAATTAAAATATTGAGCCACTTTCTTTAACCCAGGGGTGGGGAACTCCAGGCCTCGAGGGCTGGTGTCCTGCAGGTTTTAGATGTGTCCTGATCCAACACAGCTGATTCAAACGGCTAAATGACCTCAACATGTCCTGAAGTTCTCCAGAGGCCTGTAATGAACTAATCATGTGATTCAGGTGTGCTGACCCAGGGTGACATCTAAAACCTGCAGGACACCGGCCCTCGAGGCCTGGAGTTCCCCACCCCTGCTTTAACTCCTCAGCTGTAAAAGGCTGATGTGGCATTGTGGTCACCGTGCTGGGTGAACAGACAGCATGGGTGCTCAAGTTTGTGAATGCGATAACTTAAGGATTTTGCCATTAATCTAATGGGTGCAGCTACTAAAAACCTCTGTCGAGTTCGGATCTCAGTGACCTCAACCTCGGGGTCAGAGGTCATGTCTTCTGAAAATCTTGTGGACACATTAAAGACAAAGATGTCACCTGAGGTTTTCAAAATGATACCAGGAGGCTGAGGGGTAGCGCTGGTGGCCAGCAATGTTTTTCAAAGCTTTTGTGGAAACTCACATTGTTTGTGTTGCACTTGAATGACAAGTCGGTATACGATTAAACTGCTGAGCGAGCAGATCTGAACTATGAACAGTACTTGCAAGAAGAATTTGGGTCAGTAAATCAGTTTAGTCAAATCATTCTCATATTTGAATGTGTCCATTTCCTCCCATCAGACTGATAAACCAGGTTCAGGGGAACTGCGTTCAAGATGTCTTCATGGCAGTTGCAAGAAACATCTTTGCTGATGGCATCAACTGGGGTCGAGTAGTGGCTCTCTTCCATCTGGCCTGTAAACTTATACACAAGGTACACCATCTGCCACAGCTGGTATTCTGTGATCCCTGCCTGTCAGAATCTTTCTCCTCATGCTGGATATAGGAAAGGAATTCCCCAGCGTGTCTTTTTCTCACACCCACCAAACGTACAAACATAATGGGTGTGAGAAAAAGCCCCCACAAAAGGGCCGCAATTGCTGTGGCACAAACGTGTTGCAGCCACTGGGCTTAACAGCTCTTCTGGTGGAATCTCTGCACTGTAAGTAATGTTTCCTCACTGAGGTTCCAGTACGTTCAGCATTCTGTCAAAATTCCTCACATTAATTAAAGAAATACAGACTTGTAGTAAGTGTGCATACAGGGCTAACAATGCCTGCAGGAGGGTCTTATGCACATTTGACAGCAGGGTTCCTACGACTTATGTTAATGGCTTTGTTCCATATCTGTTTCTCCTTTAAAGGCTATTACCGCCAATCACTTAGAGAACATCCAAATGATCATCAGCTGGGTCCTCCAGGTCATCAGGGAGCAGGTCTACAGCTGGCTTGTGGCACAAGGGGGCTGGGTAAGTGAGTAAACGTTCATAAAGCTCATTGCGGTCTTCTGTTTGGACGCCTCAGGTACATCCACAGCTCCTAATATTGATCTGTTGATCTTGCAGGAGGGGGTGATCCGTGGTTTCTCTCGATGGAGGACAGCAGCCATGGTAGCATCAGTAGTATTGGTGGTAGCCTTTGTTTACTACCGGAAAGTACGATAAAAACATCGGACCTCACAACCAAGACTGCAGTGCCTTCATCTGGATACAGACGGCTTGTTAGGAAATCAGTCACTCCTCAGCCTCCATCTCATTAACAAGAGGAGGTAAAGTACTGTGCTTACAGGGACGGATCTTCTCTTTTCTCAGGTTTCAAAGAACAAAAGCGCTTTTGCTGCCAGATGTCCAGTGAGCATCTCAGCCTTTCTTCACTAGCAGGTGATCAGTGGCTGCCATGAATTTCTGAGCTGCTGTAGCTAACACTGGAGGCTCTCAGCTGTCAGCCGATGCTGTTGTTGCTCCCGATCTTACCTGAACCACACCTGAGGGAGTTTACAACAACATAATTATCTTAATTAAGCCAACTGAATGTGCCATAGTTTCACCGTAGCTGGTGTCTGAAATTTGAATTATGTTGTATTCTGTCTCAGACAGTCTTGTCTCTTTAAAGTCTTTTTATATACTTGTTTAGGTTTCTAGTATCAAAGGACGTCAAATCACACTGTAAAAAAATGCTAATGTTCCTTTTATGGATTTTAAAAACTGGACAAGAATCCTCAAAGTGAGTTTTCTGAAAGACTTCTTCACTGAACTGTTTCAACAAATAATTTGAAATTACAAAGGGGAAAATGTGTTGGTTAAATAAGCTTTTATCAAGAAAACAATGTTTTAACAAAGTGCAATGGTTTGGAATAAATGTAAACCCTATTTAATTAAAACTGTAAAAAGAAATCATAAATATTTAGTGTTTGTTTGTTTTCTATGCAAATTTAAATAAAAAAGAAGAGCAACAAAAGACCTGAAATGTTGTTTACAAACATGTTGGGGGAAATGCAGAAATGCTGCTGTCTTTTCTAGTTGGACCAAAGAAAAAGTGAAACGCAGACGTTCCATCCTCCAGGGCACAAAGAGGAGGCGAGACCGTGTAGCTTTATATCATCTCTGTCATGAGTATTTTACACACCTGTACAGCACCATTAATGATCAAAGATCTACAGGCACCAGCCACTAACAGCTAGTTATGTGGTAGCAGCTCCATGTAGACATGGTCAAGTTCAAAATGAGCATCACAAAAGACAGAAAGTATCCGGGTCGATTCTGTATCAGGGAGACTCAAGGACTTATTTTCTCGAGTTCCTGAAGTTTTTCTCAGACTGTTGTTTTTGAAAAAAATAATAAATAAAGACAGCATCTTTTGAAATGCATTTCCAGCATTAAATCCAAAATGAACAATTAGTAATAACTCAGTCTGTGTGTGTTCTGTCATGTCTTGTTCATTCGACCCACTTAACAATTGGCAGCTCTATTTGAAAGTAAATAGGAAGAGGTTATCTTAAGTTTGGGGTCTGCAAATCTCATAAACCCATATTTAATTCACAAACGAACATAGAAAAGGTTTAACCTGGGAACTATTTCAAGAAAAATATGAGCTCATTTTGAATTCGATGGCAGCAACATCTCTCAAAAGATTTGGGCCATGGATAAGTTTCCCACTGTGTAGCATCCTATTCTTTAATATCGGCAGGTAAGGTCTGGGAACTGAGGATGTTCTCAGCTGGGGAAAGGTCGAGTCTCGACTGCAGGCAGCCCAGTTCAGCACCCAAACTCTTCTGCTAAACACACATGCTGCTGGAATAGCTGCAGGTTCTTATTATCAGCTCCAGATGAGAAGAAAAGCTACATTTTCCAACATCTGTGGGATATTGCCCAAAAAAAAATAGACAGTACGTGATGACCTCCCGAGAGACTGCAGATGCAAATTAGTTGTAAGCCATGTCTGGTAATGGCAGCATTTCTATGAATTGTCTGAGCCGTTGTCTCTTTCTGGAGAAAATGACACAAAATTCCTAAGACGACCTGGTGTGGACCTGTGTTCTGTGGCTTCTTCTAAGCTCAAAATAAAAATGAATTAACTGCTCCAATTACACTACACGTTGTCTCCATTTCAAACATTTTCTTTTTAAGCCTTTGGCAACGTTTGAGGGGAAAAACATGATATAAGAATTGTCTCAGAACTTTGTCACTAGGAATAAGTCATTGTACCATGAAACTTTGTGAATATAGGGTAAGATCTTTAAAAGTTCAATACAAGGACTGAAGCTGTGCACAGAAAGGGAACATTTAGCAACTGGAAACGCTTTGGTGAACAGTTTTCAGCATGTACACGGATTTGTTGGTAACTTGTGATGTGCTAAGAGCCCAGTGTCTTCACAAGAATGGAAAGGAGCAATGACAACAGTTTTTCTGAAGGTTTCACAAAATACTGAAATAACAAACCTCTGCAGCTGGTTTCTTAATATGCTACATAATTTGAAACGGGGGGGAAAGGGCAGCAAAACACTAACTGAAGTAGATGGAGAAAGGTTTTGTTGTAAATAGTTGTACAGTGCCACTTTTAATTAGGAAACCCGAAGTGTCTGGGACACTTCTGGGAGTTCATTGTAAAGCAAACAAACTGTAGCAGTGGTAGATAGCTTACCTCATCAAGCTTTTATTTACACCGTTCATTATCTTTGAATTATTTAGTTTTACAAAAGAAAGAAAATCAATGTAGTAAACATTTTACTGCTAATCTGAACTGTCGGGGGTTTCAAACTGAAATGAGCTGTGGGCCACTGCAGGGATGTCATCTCATTGGAGGGCCACGTCAGTGTTCAGGCAGTACAAAACAAACAAACAAATAAGAAAAGACCCACAAATATATCAGAACATTTTGTGCCTTTTTCTTTTTCCCTTCGAATATTGTGTAAAAAGACCAAACTGCAAACGTGAGTGAAAATTATTTATTAAACAAATAAACATAACAATTTTTTTTACCCCAAATAATACATGTTCAAAGCAACACAACGGCGGCCCAATAACAGACAGAGCTCCACTCTGCAGTCATAATGAAGCAGCTCGTTTTATTTTGTAGTTTCAAGCTGCTCTTCATATTTTTGGCCACCAGATGTCAGCAGAGAGGACTGTGTTGAAATGCTTCGAGTAATGAACCGTATTTCAACACAAGCTTCAAAGCTTCATTTGGCCATCAGCACCTGTAATCCAGGCAAGGCAGGCTTAAAGTGCTGGAGCTGGATGCGAGCTGACAACAATGATGCTCTTTCTGAAGCAGAGGTCGTGCAGAGCTCTGTGACTGTGGATAATTACTGGGGGTGCAGGTGAACACTTTCTCTAACATCTCTTTCTGTCTCAGCACCACAAGGACAGATACAGAAAATCTTTACCCCCATAGCACAATACCTGCATCCAATTTAGATTTAAGCCGCGTATAGTATCATGTTTAGACTTTCATTTATTAACCTCTTCATATTTATTAAAATGTTTTTCTGTGCGATGATGAGCTCTAAACCCTCACTGAAATTCTTCAAATAAACCATGGACAATTTAAAACAGCTCGTTTAAGAAGTTTCAAAGTAAAAGCACTGTTGGCCTGTAATGAACTTTAACAGCGGGATATAGTACCAGGTATTTAAGCAATTGTTTATTTATAGCCACCTTAAAAGCCTGCAGCACATAGCCTGTTGGGATTATACACTGCTAGTGCTTCTTTGATATACTTTGTGTGTTGTGCAAATGATTATTTATATTAAAAAAATTAAAATATATCTAAGAGCAACAAAACTACACAGTGACCAAGCATGAAATGGTTTATCATATTAAATTAGTACATATTTAAAGCACCTCACTGGATATATGATCTATGATGTACAAAGTGCGGGACTGATTCTTCCCTGGAGCACTCACAGGCTTTATACAACAATCTATCACACACACATACTGTCACACTGATGAAAGTGTCTGTGACAAACTGGTGTACAGTGTCGAGCTTAAGGTGCAAACCGCTGGATGAGCCACTCCTACATCCTTACATGTAACAGGAAACAGGACATAGTGAGTAAATATGAAGGTACAACGATTAAACAGGAATGACACTGATATTTAAAAACTAAAGCACTTGCTGTAGTTTTACAGTACAAACTACACTTTATACTGTAGTCGTGAAGTTCTTCAGACATTACTGGACAGAGCTCAGTGTGGAAACATGATGTCCAAACAGGTACTGCCTCCTCCTTTGTGCTGATCTTATTCCACACATCATCTTCAGTTCAGACAGATAGTCTACCCTCAGTCACCACTTGCCTTCTTTCCTACAGAGGCCAGTTCAACATATTCATATTATCCTCATCTGTACATCTGTATGGGGTAAGTTCAGTCTGTATCTGTGACTGAACTTACCCCACTACTAACATCAGGCTAAGCAATATTAAAAAGGTCGTATTAAGAAGTGTTTAGTTTATAGCGTTAAGCATTCTGAGTGGTCTGTAAAAAGCTGGGAAAAATTAAATTAGGATAAAATGAAATTAAATAAAAAAATCCAGTTGTGTGTCAACTTATCAGCATCACTGCTACATCCTGTATACATAAGAGGGTAAAAAAAATCCATTGATGGTTTTCAGGAAAAGTCTTTAAAAGTGTTCACAAACCAGAAACCCTCTCATTGCCTGCACCAAGGTTTTGTATCTGTTGATTGCTTATGTTGAACACTATCTGCTCCAGAGCATAATTTACTGTGGCGATGTGAAAAGAGCACCTCATTGACAGTAAAACCCAAGGCTAAAGCAGAGGTTACCTCACTACGCCTAAATCCTGCTTCATATTTCAGGAATACGTCGGACTCTTTCTTTAGTGTTACAGCATTTACGGCGCTCCTTCTCAGTCAGCCTGACTAATTCCTTTTCCTGCATGTGTTTGTGTTGCTTTTTGTTTGCCTGTGGTCAGTGAGCACCCTCACCTTGTCGTACCAGTGTCCTGGAGAGCACACTACACCTGTCCTCCACTCCGTTGGATCTGCTCTTGTAGTCTTTTGGGTCACTTGGAGTCTTTTGGACTTAACAGTGCGGGCAGGTACTTTCCCCGGTACAGGAATGCTGCACCCAGTCGCTGGTTTTACAACACTCGGAGAATAATGCACAGACACGCCTTGGCACATGCATTAGCAGGTGTCTTAGAGCTGCAGGCTCATCTCTTATGGAAGCTGGGGCTGTCAATGATCTGAGAGAACTTTCCAAATGAATCTATTGTGTCCACAGGTTCTTCTGTTTTTGCTTCTTCCATGCGGTCACCGATTTTTGCCCCAGGGGAAGGGATTTGATTCAGAGTGCTGATCCTGGGGAGGAACTGGGCCAGGGCTGGATCTCCTCGGTCTAAGCCCTGCAGTCTTTGCCGGTGGTTTCCCAGACTGAGCAGGACTCCATGTCTGTCAGAGATATAGATGTTGTACCCATCTGGCAAGATCTCCTCTCTGAAGATGCAGTCCTCTCTGCTGTAGGCATGCTGGAAAAGTTCACATTACATTCACATGCATCACTCTGCACATTCTACAATATACTTTATTGTATCCTTTATTTGAAATAAGTAAAAACAATATGGCTTTTTGGCATTTGTTTCCACTCAAAATGCATTTGTTTGCTGATCCTATATACATGTTGTACAAAGAGGGGTAAGGGTTAACAGGGACTATTAACAAAAACACACACAAAAAACATACGTAAATGGCACTGCAAGTTCTTCGATGGCTGTTTGCTTTGACCAAAGATACCCAGCCAGAGGCCAAGGTTGTTGTTGGTGCTGCTGGGTCTTTTCATTCAGCTTTTTCCACTTTGCAAACACATCCTGCCCTGCACCACACTGAACAAAGGTTGATGAACTGGTCAACTATTTGAATGAATGACTCTGCTGCTTGCAGTGAATATGGAGACGATTAACAACATATCACAAGCACGGCAGACCTTGCGTCACTTGTGTCTACAGAAACCTTTCTAGAATAGCCGCTGAAGAAGTTTGCAGTTAAAACGTACTTCTACTTTCTTTATGGAATAACAGTTCCCCACTTAGAGTTCAAATGTCAGCTTGACACCAAGTGAAACTACAGTATTTATTGAAGTAAAAGTGCTGTATCAGAATATAAAGTTTAAACCAGTAATAATCGCATTTCAGTCGAACTGTGCAGATTATGAAATAGAGAAAGATTAATTATTAATCAGTTAAAACTTTTTTCCAACAGGTTTTTGCTATTTTACAAAGAGCACAAAGATGAAGAAGAAGCTTATTTTGCCTCTATTTTACTTGTCATGTGTGTCTCGTCATATGAAGAGAAGAAAACACGACTCCGTTTTAGACGACCTGTGGTCATCATGGTTTCACCGTGATTGTCTGTGTGAGGTAAAGCGTATTAGCAATTGCTGGATGAGATGCAACTGCAGTTGGTATTGTAACTATTATAGCTGTTGCAGTACATAAATATAACATAGTTGCGTCACAGGCAGAAAGGATCAGGAATATTCACATGGCTGTGCAATCCTGTGAAAGCTTAAATGCACCTGTACTGCTTCCATAGGAATTAAGAGGAGAAGCAGCAGCCAGGTGCTCCACAAAAGCAGGACTTTAGGCACTTTGCAGGTCTGTGTTCACGTGTCTCAGTCTTCCCAGGTGTGGATGATCCAGTAAATTAGCCCCAAGGTCAGACTGTGCAATGCTCAGATAAACTGCCAAAAGACCCGAGACCTGCATCTCTAACTCGATAGGCCTCAGTTTGTATGTTAAACGTTAAAATTCATCACAGCAAATTTAGAAAAAGACTGAACAAGTTGCTTCTTCTCTCTGAAAAGAACATGACGGCAACAACAAACAAACCACAAAACATCTGGAACAAAGTCCAAGTAGAGATGTCTGGCCATGATGTACAGCACGAGCTTGGAGAAAACCGAGCACAGTATATGAACACAAATATCTCAAAGCAACTGTGAGCACTGTGCTGGAGCGCTGATCATTGGGCACCTTACAGTCACTGAGTCAACCGTGTATTCTTCTGTACACCAAAGTAAGCTGAGCCGAACGACTGCCTGAAAATGGGTCATTCAGCAGAACAATGATCCCCATCATAGCAATACATTTACAACAGAATGGCTGAAAAAAATGAATTAAGATGTTGCAGTGGCCCAGCCAAAGTGCAGAACTCCACCCAACCAACATGCTGTGGTGTAGGTTTAAGAGAGCTGTGCATAAACAAATGAACCAAAGCGACTTGCACATCATTGTGGTCCAAAATTCCTCCACAGTAATGTGAGGGAATAAAGTCCTCCTGATGAACATTGCTGCTGAAGGTGGCTCTACAATCAGGGCATGCACTTAAAGTCGTACAGGACTGCACAGAGTGAAAATGTTATGTTTCACAGGAAAGTACACAAGCAGCATGAATATAAACTTGGTCTTTGTGTGGGGTCACATATTCTTACTTTCATGTTGGGTAGTTTGCTTGGTAATACAGAACAAACTCTCCAGTGCTGGGATTTCACAGACATTTCCAAAACGAGCATTTACTTTTGCTTGGAGCTGCTTTCTGAATCTGTTTGGGCTCTAGGACTCGCTGAAAGGTGAGGAGGAAGAAGCTGCTCATGACTCCATCGTGAGATGTAACATTTAGAAAAAATGTTAGCTACCACGAAAACACCCCCCCTCCCTCACAACTTTTATCATTTGGAACTGAAACAATGACTGAATTAATTGATAACATTTTTTAAAAATTGTATTCTTAACTGTAAAAACATGTAATAACTGACAGATATTAGTAATAATATTTAGTAATAATTAGTTTTTTCATTTGTTTATGTTGCCATTTTTCTATTTTGTTTGTTCTATTTACACTCTGAGCTTAAACATTGCACGTGTCACTTTTACTACACATGTATGCTTTACTGTTTGATATCAGCATCACTCAATCTGCACACAACACAAGTGTGTGACATTTGTCGTGTTTTTAATGAACTGCATGTGTCACTTAATTAGATATGCTAAAGTTATTTCTTGTCCTTCTACATTGTATTTTAGTCTTTTATGTGTGATTTTGGAAAGAATTTTGCATCTCTTGTTTTGATAAGTGATATAAATAAAAATATGTATTCTTCTCCTTTTGTTAGTATTATTATTATTATTATGCTCACCGATGAGTACAGTGTGCCGTCGTCTTCTATGCAGAGAAACCTTGCGGTTGCCACCCCTCTGATGGCAACACGGCCTGGACCCACTGGACGAATCTCCATTAGGCCTAAAATGGAAATGTTCCCCACGGCGAAGCACACTGCGGTTAGTAAGAAATACTGCAGTTTGCAGCCTTTTGACTCTGCGCTTCAAAGTGTTCCACTTACTGTGCAGAGTCTGGACGGCAGAACCACGGATCTGTCCGCCCTCACTGATCAGCAGGTGCATTCCTGGCCTGGTGGCGTAAAGGTGCCTGAGCCGCACCACCTGGGCCCAGCCGTGGGCGATGTGGGGCCCGTTGTCTGACAGGGGCATGCAAACCATTCCAACACCAAACAGCACATTGACCGTGGATACGATGAGGAGCAGCAGCATGATTCGCGTGTTGTGGCTCCCTCCAGCTGGTAGTGAAGTAAGTGGACCTCTTCCTGCGCAGCCTTTTAAACGTGGCTCTTATCAGCTGCAGATAACCCCTTTTCCCAGAAACAAACCACAACACACCCCTGCACAACATCCAACTGAATCATGGCTCGCCGCTGGCCCCAGCCGAGCCCAAGTCATGTTAGAGTCAAAGATCAGCTGAATGTGCCGCCATATACGGACTGTCGTGCAGACTGTAAATACAGTCATATAGGTTTTTCTTTATGAACAATATATGATGTTAAGAACAGCACGTAAAAGGAGATCACTGTAGTAACAGAAAAACACTGTCGGAGACTTCAGTTTTAGCTGTTGCATGTTGCATCCTTGTTCACAGTCGCTGCTGAATGAATACGAAGTATTTCACACTCAAAATGTGAAGGACATATACAAATGCAACACAGCACTGTGGATTAAGACTGCATTTCATTTTTTAAACAAACAAAATCAGGAAAAAAAAACCCTCTTTTCTTACTTTTACTATAAAAACCTCCGCAGTAATATACACAATATCATAAATACCATAAGCCATCATAATCCAAGGAAATCTCGGCTCACACCTATAGCCTCGGTATCTATTATATTAATGATGTGTTGCATAATTACATTACATAAACTGTCATATTGCACATTATTTGAGGATAGGGTAAAGTCTACACATTGGTCAGAATCCATGCAAAGTTGTGAGACTGGGTCACTCTACACTAAAATAACAGACTTCTTTCCGCTCTTATCACATTCTGGCCGGTGCTTCCGCTGTTCTGTGTTGCATTTACATACAAGTTAAACTGTAATCAGAGTAAATATCACCATTCACTAAAATGAAACCCGAGGCCCAGATCTGAAAAACCTCCATAACCTTTGCAAATTAATTCTTTCTGACTGCAGATTGTGTTAATGTCCGTTTGGGCTATGGCAGTTTTTCCAGCTGATCAAAAATGTCAAATTCATTTAAAATGTAAAGGTATGCAAAAGTTTCAGCCTCTGTTAGTGTTCAGTGACCTCCTTGGCCTGCAGTCTCAGTCTTACACCATTTTTAAGATCCCTGCAGATTTCCAGTAACTCTAAAGATTTTAATTTGTGTTTGTAGGAATAGTTGCTGCATTTTAAGGTTTTACTGGGATCATTGTCCTGTAGAAGCTCTTCTCTCTTTCATATTCTTAACTTGCTGCTTGACATTTGCAACAAGAATTTATTTTTTAATGGAATCTCTTCTTGCTTCTGATTATGCAGTATTTCCACTTGCTCTGGTTGCCATATAAAAACTGGAAAGGTAAACACTTTGATGATTGTGGATAAAGAAATCATTTTTGACATCAACATTTTTCAGAAGCTTTGAGCATTACTGAAGACAGGCCTGAAGAGTCTGAAATGTTATCAAGCTTACTTCATGAGCCAATGATTGCTGAATTTTAAATATCATTACAATAACAATATTACATCCTCATTTATCCAAATACCATCTATTTCCTGTCTATTTGTTGCCTAGGTAATAAGATAACATAACATGAACTGCACGTCTATGCAGGCAGGCTCTCTCTATCACTTAATCTGTCTACACAGCTTCTGTCACTAGATGGCAGACTAGAATATGAACTCTTCTCTTTAAAGCATGCAGGGGACACTGGGATTTATGCACTCAGGCAGTCACAAAAACGTTTGCATTGTTTTTCCTAATTAGACTTTGGCTCCACCTTATCATTCCAATTTTAACATTATGGAGTGTCTGAGTACAGACCTTGTGATTGTGTGGGTGGTGCGAGGCCTTTAAATTTTGTCAGTGAAAACAAACGTGTGACTTATGCTGCTGTTTTTCAAGATTTGCCTTCATTGCTGATATGGGCAAGTATTCCATTAAAATCATAAACAATTTATCATCATGATTAACTGCCATTTACTACATCACTTATTCGATTTAGTTATTTATGGTCAATTGAGTTATGAAATAAATAACCTGTGCTAAGTGAAATGAAAACAACAACAAAAAAAGTCTAAATAGAAAAACTGTTTATAAGAAAGCATCTATCAAAGCAAAGTGCCAAAATGCACCAAAGTATAACGATATGCTCGACAGTATCAGTACCTTTCTCTCTCAGTGCATTTATATGCCATTGCTGCATGTAAATGAGTGTCTTCCCTCTCCTTCAGTTTCTACTTTTTGTGTGCATTTGTCATCTCTTTATACTTTTCTTTTGTCTTTTCCACCTCAGCCCTGATCATTCCTGTCAAACAGCTGGTAACCCGATCTGGTTCTTAGGGAATCATCTTCCTTTTTCTTTAAATAAACGTCTTTTGCTATATAAATCTTCTTCTGATGAGTATTTCTGTGATTTAAATAAATTAAACTGGTTTAAAGTGAACTAATTCGAACAGATTTGCAGTGCTCCCAGGCCTGAAAAGGTTCTCAGCAGTATTCTGATTACTGTCCTGGCATAAATCTGTGTGTATTTCTGTGGCATAAAAAAGAAAAGAAAAGAAAAACCCATTCAACGGATCCACTAAGTTCCCTAAATGTTCCCTAGAATGTTAGCTTTTAAAGGAAAAAACTAGAGTTGTTGGTGAATATTGGTTTGCTTGTTAACAGGCAGTGGAAAGCGGCTTTACATTACAGAGTAATGTAGTGGGTTGACTGGGGGACATTGGAGAAGTATGGCTACTGATGGTGCTGCTTGTTTTGCTGAAAGAAACCTCAGGACGATAAGCCATGTCTGCACCCCAAGGAGCTCTGGCCAAACACATCCACACTTTCAAAATAGAAAGGGACAGAAAATCCTCTCTTCAGAGAGAAAATGCATAATAGACAATTCTACTCATCTCATTCAAAACTGGAAGTGAAGTTGATTAGATTATGACTTTGAATACATGCACAAGTAACATGTGCAGTCATAATCTTGTATCTTCTCATACATGTATTCAAAGTAGCGCTGAGTCAGTAAAAATGTTTTAGTGCCTTTTCACTTACACTGCTACATGAGTTTATCTTAATTTGCTTCACAAAAAGTAAATTTTATTACCTGTAAGAAATGCATCGAACTCTTGAATCAAAGCTAAACCATCCACAGCTGTGTAAAGGACCCAACACACCGTGTTTCCGTTTTGCTTTTATTGCATGCAATAAACACAACACACACAGCAGCCGACTTTCCAGTCAGACGGTTTTTTAAGATGTTTTTTTTAAACAGTGTGGCTCAGCTACAGCCAGCTTGGAGGCCTGTGGTAGACAGCTGATTATTAGAGATAGGTTGGTCATATTTAAGACTGAATGTTACTGTGACTGAAGTTAACTTAAAAAGATCAATTGGAGAAAAAGACTCTAATATCCAGTCAGCTGTGCACTCTTTGTAACAACTGTAACTGTAAAGCTGCATTATCCATTATCACCACATATGTAACACTGACACTGTAAGACTTGACATATCGTATTTTTGGATGTTCCAAAAAAAAAAAAAAAAAAAAAAAAAGTGTTCAGCTGAAGACAACATTTTAATCCAGAGCAAAAGCTGCATGTAAGGCTTACTACTAAGCTTACTAGTGGATAATTAAAAGCTGTAATTACCCCTGTTAAGTGTCTTTATTTCCTTCATGTATCACAAATTTGGCAATCAGACCTGCCTAATATTGTGTTGGTCCTCCTTTTGCTGCGAAAACACCCCTAACCTGTCGAGACACAGCCTCCATTAGACCCTTGAAGATATGCTGTGGTATCCGGCACCAAGATGTTAGCAACAGATTCTATAAGTCAAGTAAGTTTCGATGTGGGGCCTCCATAGATCAGACTTGTTTGTCCAGCATATCGCACAGATGTTCAGTTGGATTGAGACCTTGGAGGCCTTTGGGCAGAGGCCTCACTCTTTGGGTGGCGTGTTGCCCTAAAACACGTAAAAAATATCTCTAAACGCTTTTTCAGTTCAGAGTCAGAGTTAAACTAACTTCAAAACAAATATGGATGAAGACATATTGACAACCCTAAAACTGGCTTTGGAAAGTCCAGTCTGCTCCTGAGTTTCACAAACGATACTTTCGACCCAGAGCAGTCTGCCACGATAGGTGTGGACTTGCAATCGATGGAAATAAAGCTAAGCTCGCCGTACGGGACACAGCTGGACAAGAATGGTTTGCACTCCGAAAGAAGCCTCATGTTTGTGGTGGGTGTTTTAAATTAACCACGTGGAGTATGAGTCTGTCATCTGAGCATGTGTGGTTTGAATTTATCAGTAGTGGCTCAGCTGTACTTTAACACTTCAGGTTCAGCATGGACCACTTTGTTGGTAAGAATTGTAGCCTCTCAAGTTTGAATCTAATAAATTAATTGAAGGCTCCTTAATCTTTTCTTACAGGCTGTAAAACTCACCCTTTATATAGCTGCAGAGCACAAAATATGCTGCTATACATATATTAGGATGCCGTATTAAACACATACTATAGCACTGGGATTGAGGATTATGGTGGAATACATCCAGGCTAATGCAGGTTTTCATTTCAATGCACACGAGAACACTGTGAATTCTCCAAAATATGACATTATACAATGACACCCCAACCCTCATCAGTTACTGACATCAGTTTGTCTTTTCTGTTCATTCATGTGTTGTCTGTTTTTCTATGATGCTGATTCTCTGCTTCAGATCATTTAGAGGTCTTGAAACCAATTTCCCGTGTGTATTTCTCTTGACGAGAAAATGCGATAGAAAAGTTGTAAACTTTGTCTTGCAGGATTTCCTACAACTGAACCCATCTCTGCCTTTGCATTTGGATGGTAGCTTCTAGAGTTACGAGTGTAAAGTTTACAGTACCAAGCACTCTTGCAATAAAATGTATCGTTTTATGCACTTGAGCGCATAGTTTGTGTTTTTACTATTAAACTTTGGCCTCGTGAAGTAGTCAGACTCGAACGTCAAGGAAGGTGGTAGGGAAGCAGACTACACAGACATTTCAGATTTCCAGAGGTGAGCAATTTATTTACAGTGAACTTAATTTAATGTGTAACTTAACAAACTTCCCCCCAAATCAACTCAATTAACAAAACTCAACAGACCATGGATCTGGTAACGCAGCTCACCTCTCCTCTCTGCTGCATCTGGTGTCTTGGTTTTAGGCAAGGATTCAAGCGACCCCTTGTAGAGCACTCAAACTCCGACCTTTGTCTACTTCCTGTTTCAGAACCCCCTTTCACAATAAAACAGGTTATGCTCAAACAGATTACACCACATCCTCCTTTCGCTGAAAACATCAAACTTACAAGAACATTTACTGCATATATGAAAACTGTACTCTTTTTTTTCTTAGAACCTTTCATAGAAACTTTTCTTTCTCTTCAACCTTTTTTCCTTTACTTTTAAACCCATGTTTTTCTTTTTTGTTTTGTTTATTTTCACAAGTCCAGTCTTTGTGGTTTTTTGACAACCCTGCCAGCCCTAGTTCTGACAGGACCTGGGTCTTCTGTCTTAGGAGTCAGAGTTGTAGTCACCGATAGGTTTGAAGCAGGCAGGGCGTTCTCTGTTGGACTGACAGGCGTAATTGGGGTTTGTAACTTTGGTGTGGCATCTGGCAATGGCTGGAGGTGATGCCTATTTCTCCTGATGGCTCCTGAAGGGGTCTCGACAATGTATGAGCGGGGTGTGGAGTGAGAGGAGATGACAGTCCCTTCACGCCTAGTGTCTGTAATCCACACTGGTTGTCCCGGTGAGAGTGGAGGAAGTTCTGTCACATGATGTCTCCTGTTGTACGCAACACTGTCCTTCATCACTCTCTCTCTCGCTTTTGTCAACACTGTAGCCTTGTTGGGCAGGCTGGGATTGAGCAAAGAAGGAAGCTGGGGAACTGACGTGCGCAGTCTTCGTCCCATTAGTAGTTGCGCAGGGCTATATCCATTAGCCAATGGGGTTGCTCTGTAAGCTAGAAGTGCAAGATATGGGTCTTTTGCTTTCTTTAGCAGACTTTTCACAGTTTGGACATGACGCTCAGCCTCACCATTGCTTTGTGCAAATCTTGGACTGCTTGTTACATGCCTGAACCCATAAGCTGCTGCAAAGTCTTTGAACTGTTGGCTTGAAAACTGAGGTCCATTGTCACTGTAGAGAAACTCTGGAATCCCATGTCTGGAAAAGATTGATTTTAGATGCACTATAACATCCTCCGATCTTGTGGGAGTAAGTTTGGCTATTTCCACAAATTTAGAGTAGTAGTCCACCAGAAGCACATAGTTGCTGTTGTTAAACGTAAAAAGGTCTGCTCCAACTTTTTGCCATGGTCTCTCAGGGAGTTGGCTTGGCATTAAAGGTTGCACTGGGTTGGTACGCTCTTTGATGCATATGGTGCAGTTTTTCACAAGTTCATTTATTTGCCCACTCAGACCAGGCCACCATACTGTCTTCCTGGCTCTCTCTCTGCATCTAGACATTCCCTGATGTCCCTCGTGTAGGGCAATGAGGACAGAGTGGCGCATAGCAGTAGGGATCACTAGTCTGGTGCCTTTCAGTAGCAGATTGTCGTGTACCGTTAAGGTGTCCCTGTGTGGCCAATATTCTTTAATTGGGCCTGTGAGATGGCTGTATTTTGGCCAGCTGCTCTGACAAAAAGCCATGACATCTGAGCATATGCTGTCGGTTTTAAGCTGTTCCTTTAACTGTGTGATGTATGTCAAGGTAGCAGGCATGCATTTGACTATTTCATCCACATATATATTCGTGTCATCCAGTAGTTCAGCTGTACCCTTAGAATCAGGGTCTTGGTTAACGGGTGCACGTGACAGTGCATCTGCTGTGAGGAGTGCTTTGCCTGGAGTGTGTGAGATGGTGTAACTGTACCTCATGAGCCTTAGGCGGAACCGTTGGATTCTGGGTGGAAGCTCGGTTAGAGCTTGCTGTCCTAGCAGGCTGACGAGTGGCTTGTGGTCAGTCTCTAAGGAGAAGTGTCTCCCGATGAGAAAATCTTTGAATCTTTCACAACCCCATGTTAGTCCAAGCGCCTCCTTCTCCACCTGTGCATACCTCTGTTCTGTTTCCGTTAAAGAACGAGACGCATATGCAACAGATCTCCATTGCTCTCCTTCTTTTTGAAATAGGACTGCTCCCAGTCCATAGGAGGAAGCATCTGCAGACAGTTTTAATTCTTTGTTTGGGTCATAGAGTGACTGGGTTACAGAGACTGGCTTTAAATAGGGCCATCAATTTCCCTCCAATTGCCCAGCCAGTACCACTCACTCAAACTGAGGGATCTAAAACTCTACACAGATGATCTAAAAACACAAAACCTCTACACACTTCTAACATGCACATTTACACAACTAAATGGCAGTATTAACGAAAGGGAAAACATTCAACAAATCCCTCTAAACATTAACACAAACAAAAGGAAGCATCTCTGTGGACAAAGAAACCCCTCCACTTGGTTTGACCTGCTGATGTCATGTGTGACATCATCAGGACTTTAAAATGAGGAAATGCCAGGTGGGCGTTTCCCCACACCTGACCCTCATGATGACTGAAAAGACAAGCAAAGTAAGTATGAACAAATGACTTAATGTGTAACATAATAAAATATAAAGAAACATGTAACTGAGTATTTAACTTAATTTGCAGAATGTTTGATTTGCCGGCAACAAAACGCTTCCACAAACAAACCCGGGATAGTGAGCGAAGCAATGTTACTTGACAAATAGCAAACCATAGCAAATACATAGAAACAGAATAATGTGTACAATGTGCACACATGGGACAAATGGAGAGCATTGCAACTGCTCCTCCACTTTGTCAGTGGAGGAGCCCAAAAACGATTTCACTTTCCGTTTGGTCGTAGGAGGTGGGTAGGCTCAATCAGTTCTTCTACTCTTGGCATCGGATAAGCATCAAAAGCAGAAACAGCATTGAGTTTAGAGAAATCCACACAAAATCTCTGTTTAGAGTCATTTTTCTTTGGCATTAGCACCACTGGACTACACCACTCACCTCTAGATGGCTCAATGACTCCCATGTCAAGCATGTGTAGCCAGATGGGCTACTTGCCTTCCGTTTTGTTTCTTCTCTTATTCTCTCTCTCTCTCGCTCGCTCTACCACCCTCGCTCTCTTTCCACTGCACTCGCTCCTTGTATCAGGTGATCGGGTTAATTGGGAACCCACCTGCACATTGATTGCAGGGTGGCGCTAGCCTGTATAAAGCTAAGCCGATGTCTTGTTGATTAATTCCTCCCGAGCTTCTGGTACGATACAGCAGTAAATGCTGGCGTACTGCGACGGACTGATCAGCAAGAGCCGATTATATGACAGCTACAGGTATGCTCTCGCTTAACCTCAGATTCCCTCCGAATACTGGAATTGGTGTTAATATCCTTTTCCGGCCTGTTGTAGCGCAGCAGTCTGTTTAATTCTGCCATTGCGGAGAGAGGTGTTCGTGGTATCTCCACCAATGAGAGTATAGTGCCTCCGGTCCTGGGGTAAGCCGTTAGAACTACTTTTATTAGCATTCATAGCTATAAGAGTTTAAGGTTACATTTATCTGTTTCAGGGTTCACTGCTGTACTCACCTCTCCATGGTAAATTGTCCAACCTAAATTGGAAGAGTGGACTGCCTTCTCAGCTGCTGTTGTGAACTCCTCCTTGGTGGAGTCTGCTGTCTTGTCTTGTTTTGTCTTATCTTGTTTTTATTAAGTAGGCTTACCTTTTTTTGGGTTCGCCTGGTGTTTTATTTTACCCTGGGCTGTTGTTCCGTACCCATACTTCTGTGATCGGGCTGAAGTGATTCTCTGCCCGAGTGTCGTGCTGGGACTCTAAATCACCTGGGTGGCCGGTCTCAGCCGGTGGGGAGCCAGACCGGCCTACGCCTGAGAATAATTATTACCAGCACGAGTGGTAGTTTGACCCGTGGGGAATAAGCCTTTCCCGTGTGTGTGCGTGTGTGTGTGTGTGTGTGTGTTAGATTTCTTTTATTAAAGTTATTAAGGTGTGTTTTAGTCTTTTTATGATTTGTAGCGAGCCTGACGCTCAGTGTCCTTTTATTCTTTTAACATACTTTTCTGTGTTTTATTTCAGTGAAGGAGGACGAGCCAGTGGCCCTGGGACCTCAGGTGGTGGGTCGTTTTCACACTTTCTTTTGTACAGCACTGGGTGGTCTGCAGTGATTCTTGTGGTGTGATTTTCTTTTGGTTCCACGGCTGCTGGTAAGTCCAAGTTCCACGATTGTTTATTTTTACTGTAGGACACTGTCAATAATGACGCTACATCTTGACTTTTAATATTTTATTTATAAAATATTATTTATAATATTTTATTCATTTTATAAATAAAACTGTTTTAATATTGGAAGCCAACCTGCCTCAGTGTGCATCCTTGAATCTGTGCGGTCTTCTTTTATTCCTTTTCTTTATTTTTCTTAAATATATTTCCTGGGGGTGTAATTCCCCTAGGTGGCGTTGTCAAGTTTATTTATTTTGTTCATAACCCCGCCGACCACTTGGTCACATACTTGGCGTTGGTCGACAGGATGCACATTTGAGGTAGATGTTCGGTTTTGTAAATTGTTTTTTTTGCAACGATCCTAGTTCACCTGTTTGAAGGCTCTATTTGTTTTAGAGTGTGATTATAGACAAGACAGCAGTATCCAGGTAGAAGGAAGAGTAGTAGGATTTTAGCACCTTGCTGATTTAATTTTCTTTTTTTTGGGTCAAAATTTATTATGGAGGAAGAATTGCAGCAACTTAGAGACTTGGTAGCGCAGTTAAGGGCAGATAATGAGCAATTGCGCCGGGATGGGGGCGCTGTGCTCGAGTCTGGTGGTGGGGCCGCGTCGTCCTCTTCTGTACCAGCTGGTTGCATACCAAATGTTGGTAGCCAGGCCGCCGTTACAGAGCGTCTGGTGGTGGTGCCTAGGGACCGTAAATGTCCCATGTTCAATGGTAGAACGGGCATCAATATAGCTGAATGGGTTGAAGAGGTTCAAGCATGCATGCGTGCCCGGCACCTGTCTGTTGCTGATCAAGCTTTCTTTATTTTTGACCATTTAGAGGGAGAAGCAAGGGAGGAGATCAAATTTCGCCCTAATTTAGAGCGAGGGGATCCTGCTCGGGTGTTGACCATTTTAAAGGAACTGTATGGCAATGCGCAGTCCTATGTCACTCTGCAGCAGGCTTTTTTTTCGAGGAGACAGCGGGAGGGAGAGACTTTGCAGGAGTTTTCCTTAGCGCTAATGGCTCTGATGGAGCAAGTAAAACAAAGTGCACCTGATGGTATGCGTAACGCAGAGGTGTTGCTCCGAGACCAATTTGTAGAACATGTGGTTGATAGTGGTCTCCGCAGAGAGCTTAAACAATACGTTCGCCGTGTGCCTACTGCCACCTTGTTAGAGGTGCGCGGGGAAGCAATTAGATGGGAAAGAGAAGGGTTTTCAGGCGGTGTTCGCGACCGTGGCTATTCTCAACCATCGGCATATGGTTTTCAGTGCGGAGTGCACACTAGCCCTAGGTTCGCTCCTGTTGGTACACCCGAGTCCGAGTGGCGTGAGCTAAAGGAACTCCTAAGCCAACAAGGCGTTAGGAATCAGCCACTGAGCCAAGTGTCTTCTGTGTACAGAACACCCGAGACAGTGTTCTAGGACTAAAGGACTATAAGCACAGAAGGCTGTCCTTAATGCTCGGTGATTTCTTAGTACACGCCAGGGAGGTGGTCAGCATACAGCACACAAACTCCACCGGCGTTCGTAGGCCCTACCTTTGATCACAGGTGTCACCGGATGTGAGAGTGCACTGGGGAGCGGGCTTCTACGGTCCGCCTTCTAGTAGCAGGTTGCTGATTATGTATCAGGTAAGCCTATCTTTGATCTCTACTCGTCTAACAGTCAATTATACTGTTCGGCCATTTCATTGCATTCTTTCCCGCTACCCAGTCGGAAAACTAACGCCATCTGAGCTGCAGAGTCACAGTTCAGGTGGGGAGTTCACTGGCTCACAGAAAGATAGGATTGGCAGGCTAATTTCATCGTGTCCAAAGATGGATGTGCTTATTAGTGGGGTAACTGTCCCTTGTTTGGTGGATACTGGGTCCATGGTTTCCACCATCACAGAAAGTTTCTTTTTGGCACATTTTGCCCCTTGGGGACAGGAACGCCTTCAGTCATGCCATTGGCTACAGCTTCGGGCTGCCAATGGGCTTGCCATCCCTTACATTGGCTATTTGGAGCTCAGTGTACTCCTGTGTGGCAAGGAAATGCCCTCTTGTGGAATCCTTATAGTGAAGGACCCTCCTGGGGCTACGCCCTCTGTCCCTGGCATCTTAGGAATGAACGTAATCCGCCGCTGTTATCAAGAACTGTTTGGGGCTTTCGGTGGCTCCTTGTTTAATTCTCCTTCTGTGTCACAGGCACCGAGACCAGTTTTGGAGGCCTTACATCAGTGTCACCAGTCTGCAGCCCAAGCCCCAGAGGACCCTGTCGGTACCGTTAAGGTACAGGGCCGTCGCCGGCGGATACCTGGTGGTGTTATGCAGCTGGTGGCCACTACTTGTTCTCAGCAGTTGTCAGGTCAGGCTGTGCTTTTTGAACCTTCTGAGTCCGGGTTGCCCGTTGGGTTGCTGGCCTCTCCATGTTTGGTCCAGGTGGATAAGGGCGTTGCCTACATCCCAGTCACCAATGTAGGGACAGCGGAAGCTGTTCTCCACCCGCGGACCCGTTTGGGAGTGATAAGCAAAGCTACTGTTGTTAGCCTCCCTGCTGGTGTTAGCGAGGAACACTCTTTTCCCGTTACCGTTTCCTCCCATACAACCAGCAGCCCTGCTCAAGAGATGGTGGATACGATTGACCTGTCTGCTCTCGCTGAGCCAGAGCAACATGAGGTACGGTTACTTTTGCGGAAGTACAGCTCTGTTTTCTCCACTTATGAGGGAGACTTGGGCTGCACAAACCTCATTTCGCATGACATACCACTGCTCGACGACGCACCTGTCCGGCAGAGGTACAGGCGAATTCCTCCTTCTGATTACGAGGCTGTCAGGGCTCATATCAACCAGCTACTGGAGGCCCAGGTAATTAGGGAAAGTAGCAGTCCGTATGCCTCTCCCATCGTGTTGGTCCGCAAGAAGGATGGAAGCCTCCGTCTGTGCGTTGACTACCGTTTGCTGAATAGCAAAACAAGGAAGGACGCCTTCCCCTTACCTCGCATCGAGGAAAGTCTGGATGCCCTAGCTGGCGCACGCTGGTTTTCTACCATCGATCTGGCCAGCGGGTACAACCAGGTGCCAGTTTCTGAGCAGGATAAGCCCAAGACCGCTTTTTGCACGCCGTTTGGCCTGTTCGAGTGGAATCGTATGCCATTCGGGCTGTGCAATGCTCCTGGTACCTTCCAGCGCCTAATGCAGAGGATGTTCGGGGATCAGCAATGCCAGTCATTACTGCTGTACCTAGACGACATCATTGTGTTCTCCTCGTCTGTCTCTCAGCACCTGCAACGGCTAGAGATGGTGATGGCAAGGCTGCAGCAACAGGGGCTCAAGGCTAAGTTAGAAAAGTGTGCCTTTTTCCAGCAGAAGGTTAACTACTTGGGCCATGTAATCTCCTGCGAGGGTGTCTCGACCGATCCAGCCAAGGTTGACGCAGTAGCCAAATGGCAGTGTCCTCGTTCCGTGTCAGAGTTGCGATCCTTTTTGGGTTTTGCCAGCTATTACCGGCGCTTTGTGGAGGGGTTTGCCGCATTGGCGGCTCCTCTGCATCAAGTGGTGGCTAAATCGGCTGGCACAAAGACAAAGAAGGGCTCGGGACAGAGTTTGAGTGCTATTTGGACCCTCAGTGTGAGGAGAGCTTTGAGGCCCTGAAAGCAAAGCTTGTGTCTGCACCTGTGCTAGCATATGCTGACTTTACGTGCCCATTTATCTTGGAGATTGACGCCAGCCACAGTGGTTTAGGTGCAGTTCTCTCCCAAGATGTAGAGGGTGTCGTTAGGCCAGTGGCTTATGCTAGTCGAGGTCTTCGGCCACATGAGCGCAATATGGACAATTACAGCTCCATGAAGCTGGAGTTTCTTGCGCTCAAGTGGGCCATGGCCGAGAAGTTCCGGGAGTACCTGCTGGGGCAGAAGTGTGTGGTTTACACCGATAACAATCCACTCAGTTACCTCTCTTCAGCTAAGCTGGGTGCCACCGAGCAGAGGTGGGCCTCCCAGCTGGCAGCATTCGATTTTGAGATCAAGTATCGCTCAGGCCGCAGTAATAGGAATGCTGATGCTCTCTCTCGACAGTATGAGACGAGCTCCAGCTTGGCCGAGGGTGTGTTGCCTGGGACTTGTGTCCCGACTTCACTTCAGCAGGCTCAGTGTCCAGCCGTTTTGCCCTCCGTTACTCAGTTGGAGATTGGGGCCTTTCCATCTCACTCCCTGGAGGATATTCGTGCATTGCAGGGGGCTGACCCCCTCCTCAAGGATTTCTTGGTATACTGGAGGAGGCACACCCCGCCCTCTTCAGAGGAAAGGAGTCAGGTCCCTAAACCAGTCATGGTTCTGCTGCGTCAGTGGGACCGTCTGGTGGAGAAGGATGGCATCCTTTATCGCCGTATTTTGCGTCCAGGTGGAGGTGAGGAAGCCCTCCAACTCGTTCTCCCAGAGGCTCTGAAGCCTGAGACCTTGAGGCAGCTGCATCAGGACCATGGGCACCAAGGTATTGAGCGTACCACTGAACTGGTCAGGCAGCGTTGCTATTGGCCCGGGATGTCCTCTGACATCAAGCAATGGGTTCAGCGTTGTGAACGCTGTCAGGTCGCAAAGGACTCAGAGTTGGGGTCTCACAGTTATATGGGTCACCTGTTGGCGTCTAGGCCAAATGAAATCCTGGCCATAGACTTCACGGTGTTGGAACCTTCCCGTAGTGGAGTTGAAAACGTCTTGGTTATGACTGACGTTTTTAGCAAATACACTGTTGCAGTCCCTACCCGGGACCAGCGGGCCTCTACTGTGGCCCAGGCCCTGTTAACAGAGTGGTTTTTTAAGTTTGGCGTTCCAAGCCGCCTCCACTCTGACCAGGGTAGAAATTTTGAGAGTTTGGTGATGCAACAGTTATGCGAATTGTATCGGGTAGCCAAGTCCCGTACAACCCCTTACCACCCAGCGGGTAATGGGCAGTGCGAACGGTTTAACCGAACCCTCCATAACCTCCTCCGGACTCTGCCATCATCTCGGAAACGTGACTGGGCTGCATGCTTACCGCATGTGCTCTTTTGCTATAATAGCACGCCACATCAGGGCACTGGAGAGTCACCGTTTCTCTTGATGTTTGGCAGGGATCCTAGGCTGCCTATTGATTTCCTTCTAGGCCGAGTTCAGGACCCAGTGCCTGGAGAGGTACAGGACTGGGTGGCCGAGCACCAAGCCAGGTTAATGGTGGCTTTTGAGGGAGCTCGGGCACGGTTGTCGCTGGCCGCTGACCGTCGTAAGGAGCGGCATGACCAGAGAGTCCACCCTGTCCCTTTAAAGGTCGGTCAGCTGGTGTATCTTCGAGATCACAGCGCCCGGGGCCGGCACAAGATCCAGGACCTTTGGAGCTCTGTGGTCTATCAGGTGTTGAGGGCACCCCAAGAGAATGGGGCTGTTTATACCATTGCCCCCGTGGGAGATTTGGAGAAGGTTCGACATGTCCATCGTGACATGTTAAAGGCACAGGTCAGCCTAGGGCCACCTACACCTGGTCCACCGGTTCCACCCCCACCTGTACCCGCTGACTCAGAGCAGACCTCTCTGAGTGACGACGAGTTGTGGCTCCTTGTCCCTGAGGTACCCTCACACCCTGTAGCACCTGTGGTGTCACTTCCCGATGCCTCTAGAGTTCCATCGGTGGAGCTCAGGTCCACCCCTAGTGTGATTGTAGCACCCTCGACCTCTGCTCCCCCAGGTTCTTCCTCAGGCTCTGTTGAACAGTCTGAGGTGAGTGGGCCACATTTACGGAGAACAGCACGTTCAACAGCTGGTCATCACTCAAATGTTTATCACTTGCCACGTCCTGTTGAATCTGCGTCAGTTGCTAATGCTCAGCTTGCCATATTCAGGCCATGGTGTTAGGTTCCTTGAGTTATTGTCGGGGCGCCAATACAAAAAGGGGGGGTAGATGTAGCCAGATGGGCTACTCTGCCTTCCGTTTTGTTTCTTCTCTCATTCTCTCTCTCTCTCCGCTCGCTCTACCACCCTCGCTCTCTTTCCACTGCACTCGCTCCTTGTATCAGGTGATCGGGTTAATTGGGAACCCACCTGCACATTGATTGCAGGGTGGCGCTAGCCTGTATAAAGCTAAGCCGATGTCTTGTTGGATTAATTCCTCCCGAGCTTCTGGTACGATACAGCAGTAAATGCTGGCGTACTGCGACGGACTGATCAGCAAGAGCCGATTATATGACAGCTACAGGTATGCTCTCGCTTAACCTCAGATTCCCTCCGAATACTGGAATTGGTGTTAATATCCTTTTCCGGCCTGTTGTAGCGCAGCAGTCTGTTTAATTCTGCCATTGCGGAGAGAGGTGTTCGTGGTATCTCCACCAATGAGAGTATAGTGCCTCCGGTCCTGGGGTAAGCCGTTAGAACTACTTTTATTAGCATTCATAGCTATAAGAGTTTAAGGTTACAT